CTACAGTACTCATTTTTAACCATACATTCTTCATTAAAATAATATTAAACATAAATAAAAAAAATCTTCTTTTTTATCCAGACATTTCGACATCAATCACTATTTCATAATACACTTTTTGATATTAAAGGGGTACAAACAGGCCCTTAAATACAACATTTGGCCCCTTGTGTGATTTTCATTTTTAAAAATTTATTTCAAGCCTTTCCTAGCTCTTCCCTTGAAATTTGTCAGCTAAGGCTTGTTGAGACACGCCCTTAAAAGCACAATCTAATTAGTTACTTGCTTAAGGTAGCTTGCTCATAAAACTCCAATTGACGCATAATTTATTTTTTCCAAACTTATTTCTTATTACTCATTTTTTCAATAAAATAATTTTATCCATAAATTCAAAATTTTTTCCAACTTTTTAACCACACATTCTTCAAAAATTCACAATTACAAAATTTATTCTTAAAAAATAAAGCAGCTCAAACAAACCCTTAATGCCCAACATGTATGGATGTTTCTCGTATTACAATCCAGGTGAACCAGCTTATTAGTCCACGCAAACATAAATATCAAGAAAGGTGGGAATGTTTTGTGCAATTAACCTTTATATTCCAGGTTTATTTCATTATTTGCTTATTATCATTATAATTACCGTGTTTCCATTCAGATTTTCACATATGAATTTATGAGATCAAGTACTTTCTTTATTAGGAAGAAACATGATAAATGTTGGTCTATTCTTAATTACGATATTCATATCTCTTAGTTACTAACGACTATGAATAATTTATAATTAAATTATTTATAACTCAAACTTTCAAGTAGCGATGAAAATTTGGGTCAGAAATACATTGTCAAACTTTCAAGTAGCGATGAAATTTTGGGTCAGAAATACATTGTAACATAAATTCTATAAAAAAAAAAAAAAAAAAAAAAAAAAAAACACGAATATAATTCTAGCCTGTCCAGATGTTTGAGGTATCATACTTAAGAGTTATATAAATTATTTCCAAGAAAATATCACTCAAATTTTTAATTTAGTTTAAAATTCTTCAAACTCAGCATGTACGACAACAAGATCAAAATTTTCAAATAAGAATTACAAGAATCAACACTAATATTCATACATAAAGGTCATAAATAATATGTTTATACATTTGAAAATTAGTAATAACAATAAAACAACGAAAAGAAACCTAACCATATCTATAAAATGACGAGTGACTATTCTTCTCTTTGCACCGATAACTCTCATCAAGGTCTCCAGAGATAAATGGGTAGCACCCTTTTATTTATTTATTTCTTATTATTATTTTTTTTTTTTGGAGTAACAAAAAGTGATTATTTTGTTTTGAAAATAAGAAGTAACAATTAGAAAAATTCAAATTCTATTCTTAAAAATACCATATAGAGATAATTTTACACTAATTAAAAACTCCCTAAATTCATTTGATAAGGTTGTCAATAGTTCAATTTATTGTCTAATTATCAATTATTAAAATATATAAGTTTACTGAATATGGATTAAAATTGAATGTTTTCAAGAAGAATAATGCTATTTATAGTGAAGATAATCAGTAGTAGCCCTATGTGACATATATGTAATGGTTTATAATTTAATGCATAAATATGATAGTTTTTTAATGATAACAATGGTAATTTTAATGATAATAAGCTTATAATGAAATAAACGCGGAACATAAATTATTTCAAACCAAAGTGACGACACCGCTTATCACACGAATTTAGCCTATGAGAGACATCTGTCCCATGGATCTCCCAGTGGTGGACCCTAGAGAGGCATCAGCCGTGGGTGTGTGGGTGTTTATATAGACAGGGAGAGATACAAACTCTTTCATCCCTTAAAACATTTTCTGGGTATTGAGCTAATCATGTCTCTTCTCGAAGCTGCAGTTTTAGTGCTTTCCTTGGCCATCATCGGTATACATTCAGGCAAGCAATCTCTCGTCTTTTGCAACACGTATTCTTTTAGTCCATCAGTTATGGTTTACATTTCTCCCATCTCATGTTAATCAACTGAGTAGATCGTAATCTAATTATGTAAACTGGTCTCGGATTGCTCCTGTTTCCCACTCCAAAGTATGAAATTAGTTTCTATATATTCATTCCAGTCTCCACCATTTAGTTTTATTGCTCATCCGCATTGCTCTAAAATCTTTAGCTCTCTCACAGTTAGTTAAGAATCTTGAAATAATCATGTCTGTTTTCATAGCAGCTTTAGTGCTTTTCTTCTCCATCGCTGGAGTTTCAGGTGTCTCCTATGTTAATCACACTTTCTCCCATCCCCTGACTCTGTTCATGTTAATCAGATTGTAATCTAATTATGTACCTATGTTCATTGCAGTTTTATTTTATTTATTATTTTTTATTTTTTTGATATGGGCTTTTGCAGATGCTGAAGATTATTGCATTTGTAACGATGGATTGAGCGATGCGATTTACCAGAAGAACATTGACTATGCCTGTGGAGCTGGAGCGGATTGTGCACCTATTATGCGAAACGGCCCTTGTTTTCAACCAATTACTGTGAAGGATCACTGCAATTTTGCTGTGAACAGCCTATTACAAAAGTAACGGACAGGTTCAGGGGAGCTGTAGCTTCTCAAACACTGCCACTCTAGCTCAAGACCCACCTTGTAAGCCTCCCCTTACACCCAAAGGCAGAATAATATCTTGAATGATGCTAACTTTTCTTTAATTTACAGCTGCGGTTTCTGAATGTGTATATCCATCTAGTCCCAGGTACCCTTTTTACCTAGATCTTTTAATTTATTCAGAGCTTAATCTTTCAAGTTTGTACCAGAACATATACATGATTGTTGGCTAATATGTACAGAGCCATGGACCGTCCCAACCAGAAACTGATCATCCATCTTTCCCTCTCAATTAAAATCACTGTTGCAACCAGCTTAGCGGTAATGGTAATAGGCCTCCTAATGCTGTTTCAAAGGTTGAATGAAGGGGAGAGTCACCAAGAAGCTGCAAATCATGGAAATGGGCAAGAAAAAATCAAGATTGACATGGAGGGCTCTCTGTCCACCACGCAGAATATTGAGGCTTGAGAATTCCAAGTTGTTAAGTAATTATTGAGTGTTTATTGAGGTATTCTGTAAACTGGTGTAGGTGCTCGTGTTTAAGTAAAATTTCTCACTTATGAGATATTTTTCATTCATTGCTCTATTATCCTGAAACTGAATTATGTAATTGTCTATTTTCGTACCTTCAGTTTACCATTTTCGACTTCTTCCGGTTCTACTCCGAGAAACGTGAAATTGATGAAATAGTTAATGGGCTTAGTATTATAATAACTGGAATGGCATCCAAAATTGTCCTGTATGGAATACCCTTCATTTGCATTTGTTGCCCAACTGTGTCCAAAGGATAGCATGTTAGTGTGGCTACTGTGGCTGAGATCAGGGCTGTTGCCATGGATATTTCCGTCATATTTTGATATTTCTCAGGCAGAGCCTTCTTCACCCTGGCATTCAGAACAGATTTAGAGTTGAGATACTTTGGACTTGGAGCATGTTTGGCTAAACTAAAAAATTCACTTTTAAGTAGAGGCATAGTGAAGATGAGTTTTAGACAATGACATTGAGGGCTCTGCTACCACGCTTGATATTTAGGCTTGAGAATTCCAAGTTGTTGAAGTATAGTGAAGATGAGTTTTAGACATCTACAGTAGCGTGTCGTGCAATGATCTGTATAAATGCTTTTCGCTTATCTGAATTTCATGATGCAGAACGTATTTGGAAATTTTCGGCATGTTTAGTTTTGTATATTTCGGCATAAAAAATGTTGAAAGCCATAAGCTGTGAAGAAAATGGAGAAGGAATTATAAACTACAAAAAGTCTAAATTTAAAAGAACCTTCAAACAGAGAAGGAAAGGAAAGAATTCAGCATATCTAAATAAATTTTCCCACTTTTATTGAAGTGTAATATTATTTTATTAAAAAACTAGTCTGCACGGGCTAGGTTATTCTTTAAGTAAAGTTAGTATGTTAAATATATTAAATTTTCATAAATTATATTCTCAACTCAATGTTTGCTATATATATCTTTTACATGTGAACTAAGGAGAATATAAAATTCATACAACAATGAATTGTTTGTCGTGATAGTTACATAATTCGTTACAAATGTCCACAAAATTCATGAAAGCCAAAGACAATTGTAAAAATAGTCAATGGCCAATCTCTACCTTATAGATGAAAACACATGCCAAATTACAATGTAAGACAACGATTTCCTATGTTGAAAGAGGTTTAGCTGCAAACGAAAAGACAAGTTAAATAAATTTATAGGCAGAAACTATCCAAATGGAACACGTAGAGAGATGGGGATAACAAAGAAAAAATCTAAATAGAATACAAATCTTTTCATATTTGGACCCCCTATCAATGAGCAAAAAAAAAATTCACCTTTACAGAAGAGCTTTTCAAATCTGATGCTTACTTGGCATATGATGACTTAGAAATCCCCTCAGTGAAGCTTGGACCTTTAGCACTGGTTAAGGTCTTTGCTGGACTTCTGCTGACATCATTCATTGCAATATCTTAATCTGACGCACTGGTTGGCCCATCAAAAACTTTATACTGATGAAAACGTTATATACACAAACTATTTCCCTAGTGAAATCCTTAAATTCCATGGCTACTCCCAACGCCCTTTATTCTCAAGGAACTAAAGAGGCAAATGTCTTTCATTTATAAAACTCTAATATTTCAAATAATCATAGAGATGCTAAAAAATAACAATAGACAGATTTTGTGGCGGTGTATAACAATCTCAGATTTTAGAAACTCATCCACACATGGTCAACTGATCAATAAATTGAGTTTCCATTTCCCTGCAATATATGTTGAGTATATGAACGAGCAGAATACTAAACATTTTAGAGTAAAATGCAAAGTTTTGAAGTTGAATGAAATATATAGACCATACCAACAACCCAAAGAACTAAGCCACACCATTGAAGATGTAAAGTTAGGAATTCTTCTGGCCAGCAACATCAAGATACTTGAATTTATTGTAACAGAGATGAGTACTCGTTTAACACCCAAAAATGGAATGTGGAGGAATATATCAAAATTACTTCACCATCTTAGGTTAACAAAAGGAGTTGTGCATTCAGAAAGAGAATCCTCAGTATATAGATTTATGCTTGACCGCTCAAAAGTGCTAGAATGATTGAATACATAGAGAGTCCACAGTATAAGACCCAGCAAATGAAACGAAATAATTCGAATAGAAATTCTCAAGAATTAAAGAGATAAACAACATTTCAATGCAAATGATAATAACTTAAACAATTCAAGCTAAATTCACAATCTAACACCAAAACTTGCAAAAGAATGATATTCCAACTTGATCTTACTGAAAACTTGCTTTCCCAAAAATAGATAGGAAATTGTAAGACCGCATAACTAAAATTCATTACCAGGGATCACATAAATCTAAGTGCTTCCTAGTTCAACAACAATTTGGCGAGTAAATTTTATGTTTTAATATATACTTACAAAATCCAGACCACCTAAAATAGGAAAGTGATGAAGAAGTATTGCTGAATCCGAAATACAGGAGCTGATGGAAATCTATAATGTTGAATAAAAAAAGAATCAAAATAAAAACATAAAAAAGAAGAAAAAAAATAACATTACGGATTTAAGATATTATTGAAGAAGTTTATAAAAACTAAATAACAAGGGTGAGAAAGTTGGTATGTTAATTAAATCCCCTGAATGATATATAGACATACAAAGACCAGAAAGTTAGTTTCTCAATTGAACTTCCATAAATGTCTTTGTTAAAAAATTTCAATTAAACCCCCTAAAATATTTTGTAATATGATATCTAAACAATCTTAATTTAAATGTCCTTATTTATCAAATAACTTGACAGGGAATGAGAAGCAATCACATAAGGGACGGATTATATAAACTGGTAAAGTTAGTTCCTAATTAGGTACTCCTAGTCAATTAGGTTGTTTCATAATTCGCCTTTCGAGGCCCTATATAAACAAGCCATATCTAGATCTTTGATACTTTTTTGATAAATTGACAATCAGATCGATATATAGAAGATGGTGGACATTTTCATAACTTGATTTTACAGTTGTCAACATACCTTTCAAAAATTTCTTATGATGCATCATATGCTTGTCACGAGAATGAAATTGATCTTCAAACTATTTCTCATGACTCATTTATTCAACTGAATTTTTGTTCATATTTACAATTATTTCAAAAGTCATCTTCTAACAGAACACTTCTAATATTTTAATCTAAACTTAGTGCATACTTAATTACTTGACCATAGTGTTAAATCTATTTCTTGTGCATGGGATTTGTTAGTATAGTAAGAATGCTCAAAATCTTATTTTTTATTTGCCTATGATGATTCAATTATAAATTTTCTTTCTTCAACTCCCACTGCAATTCCATTGCTTTCATATGCTTCATTTATGGATTTCAAAAGCTTTAAATGTTCCATTTCTTATCAAATCTTTTTTATTAAAGATTATCTCAAGCATGGTAGCCTTCTTTCCCTAAATGTGGTTAGATGTATCTCATCACCACGTTGCTAATTTATTTTATGGACATAAGTTTAGATCAACTAATGTAAAATAACAGAAAACCAGAAGGAACCAAATGAGAGACCATAAATTAATAATGGGTTTTACTATTTAATATCATAAATAATCATTTAAACAACAATTTTAGCCTGAAAGAATTGATGAGAAACTATGAAAAATGTCTCAATAGTCAAATTCCAGAAATAATACAATCTATACATTAATTATGTTAAAATAACAGAAAGCAAATCCTAACCTGATAACATCATAAATTATCCATATAATTTAGATGTTCCACCTATCCAATTCAACATCTACTATCAACTTCCCAAAATTGAAAATCCAAAACCTGTAAAATAAAATAAAATAAAATAAAATACAATAAAAATCTCAATAATCTTGATCATCATAAACCACAAACCCACCAAGAAAAACATAATCAAAATTTGATTCCTATAAGAACCAAGATTTTCACCAAAAATCTCAATTTGGATACCCAGAATTTCTACTTATCGATCTACCATTCCAGTTCAAGAATTGACTATCTTGGCGAATGAATTTCTACACAAACAAAAATAAAAAAATCTATGTATATAAAGATCAATATAAAATCAAGCACTGATAGTAAGAATTATGGCTTTGTTGGAGAAGGTGATAAATAATAAATACACATACAAAAATGGCAACCAAAAGCCAAGCTTCAATAACCAAAGCAGGTCCAACAATGATTTCTCCTTATTCCTTCCAGAATTGCCATCAACTGAAACACCTTCATTTTTACTCAAGGAAAGCCTTCTAATTTTGAACCCATAAAGTGGTAATCGGGAAATTCTAACAAAAGATAAAAATAACATTACCTCTAACCGCAATGTCAAACTCTACAGGCTTCTATCCAAAACAGTATTCATACAGGTGGAGTATCTTATTTGATTTTTAAACCATTCCAAATAAGTATTGACAATTATTTTATTCTCAAATTGTGCATCAAATCTCTTATATGAAAACAAACTATTCTTCCCTTGTCATTTTCTTTTTGCTAGTCCGTCCACTTATATTCCATGTTATAACAAGTCATTACTTCAAAAGGGCATATATCTGAACTCATAAATCATATTAGTCATCTATATTGACATAACCCATGTAGCATACTTCAAGGATCCCATGAACGTGGCAAGGAATTTATACCACAACCAAAATTCAGCCTTACCTCATAATTCAACAAAAACCTTGAGGAAACTTGAAAAAAGAATACACCAACAACATATTTATAACCAGAAATTCTTGCCAACACCTATCGAACAAAGATATTTAAGCTGAAGTGGCAAAATCTCTCAATAATAGAGGGGTTAGCAATAATCTCACCTAAGGAAAACAACATAATTAATCTATATAGTTTGGAAGCCCAACGTCACTGTCTTCTCGAAATCAACGTCTACCTCTTCTTAAAAATTCAAAATCTATGAAGTGTAACATGGGGGGAAAAAAGGGAATCTTGACCATAAAAAAACACCAAATAAGAACCATATTCAAGATTAAATTTTTCTTAAGGAACAAGAAAATAATGAAAATCATCACATGGAAATCCCAAACTAAAAACCCACTTACCTATATATCAATCCCCAAATGAGGGAAAAAAAAATGAGGGCTATTGATATGACTTGACTATGCTGCTAAAATAATCCTTATACAGGAAACTATGGTCGTGTGTAGATGAAACCAAAAAAAGAAAAAAAAAGGAAAAAAAAAAAAAAAAAAAAAAAGGAAAAAAAAAAAAAAAAAAAAAAAAAAAAAAAAAAAAAAAAAAAAAAAAAAAAAAAGGAGAAAATAACAAGAAAAAGATAAGCAGGGGTGTAATAGATATGTTGGTGCATACGAGGATGGGTGCCAAAAGAGATGGTTGTGCTACAACTTCTTTCCCAAACGAAGCAATAAATGGGACCTCAACACCGGAACGACGCCAATAGCCAAAAATTGCAGATTAAAACTTATGATATATTCATTGATTTATGACTCAAAATGCCTCCACCCAAACAAGGAAGGGTTTTACCTTTCGACCAACAGAAGCGAACGGCCGCGATGGATCCTTCTTCTCGTCATCTCTACCTTCTTTCTCTTCATAGCCAGTTTGACAAAAATCATCAGCCTTCCAAAATAGCTAGTTCTTTGTTGATAAAATTTTTTTTTTTTTATTATAGTAAATTTTTTTATTAATAAATATTTAATTTTAAAAAATATATACATCTAAATATTTTGAAGTTAATATTTTTTATTTATAAATAAGTAGCTTTTACAAATATAAGTACTTTTATTACTTTTAAATGACTTAAAATGATTTTTTTATTTAATCACTTACAAATATCTTGTTATTAAAATTTAATTTAATGTAAAAAGTTACTTATAAGTAAAAAAATTACTTCGAGTCATTTAAAAGTAATAAAAAAACTTATAATTATAAAAGTTACTTATTAATAAAAAAATATTAACTTCAATATTTTTAAATAAAAATTTAGATATATTTAATTTTTTTAAATTAAATATTAATAAAAACTTACTATTAAAAAAGACAAAAATACAAAGCAAAAAAATATGAAAACTTGCATGGAGTGTTATCACTCCATGACCACTCTGTGCACGGTGAAATTCACCCATGCACGGACTTACCTTCTTTTTCAAAAAATTATAGTAATTTTTTATTAATAGTTAATTTAAAAAATAAATATATCTAATGTTGAAGTTAATTTTTTTACCTATATATAGTTTTTATAATTATAAGTTTTTTCTATTATTTTTAAATAACTTGAAGTGCTTTTTTTACTTATAAGTAATTTTTTACATTCTAGATTGTGTAATCTTTTTATTAATATTTAATTTAAAAAAACTAAATATATCTAAATAATTATACTTAAAAAATTTTAAGTTAATATTTGTTTACTCATAAGTAGTTTTTATAATTATAAGTTTGTTTTACTTTTAAATAATTTGAAGTGATCTTTTTAGTTATAAATAACTTTTTACATTTTAGAAATAAAGAATAACTTTTACGTAAAAATTATTTTAAAAATATTATTACTAATAATATTATAGGATATAGTTGATAATTAATAACCTGAGAAAATGGAGAAATAGTACTGTGTGTCAGATTCAAAGTATGTAAGTTGCAGGTAAAATAGAAAACAACGTCGTTTCTGTTCCACCGATTAAAAAAAAGCTACAGTGTGACAAAAACATTATTAAAAAATATTGCTACTAATAAAATTATTGGATATGGTTGATAGTTGATAGCGTGAGAAAATGGTAAAAAAGTATTATGTGTCAAATTCAAAGACCAAATAGTTTAAAACAAATTTAATGTGAAAACCAATGTGATAAAAATTAACAATAAACTTCACATTCTCTCTTTCAAGATGAGGAAAAAAATTAATATTGAAAAAAATTTAAATAGAAAAAAATTCTCCTTTCACACAGTTACCTCTTTTTTTCTTTTCAAATTATAGTAATTTTTTATTAATAGTTAATTTAAAAAAATAAATATATCTAAATATTTACTTAAAAATATTGAAGTTAATATATATATATTTTTTAATCTATAAGTAGCTTTACCCTTATAAGTTTTTTTATTACTTTTAAATAACTTGATGTGATTTTCTATTTATAAGTAACTTTTTATGTTCTAAATAGTGTAATATTTAATTTAAAAAACTAAATATATAGATAATTTTTTTCTATTTAAAATTTGTATGAATTCTTTTCTCTTTATTTACGATTGAACTTAATTTTTTCAAAAAATATTAATCCCTCCTAATCTTATAGTTGCAAAAGCTAATTATAAGTAAATGAATATTAACTTAATTTTATTTTAAGTATAAATATTTAGATATATTTAGTTTTATAAATTAAATATTAATAAAAAGTTACACTATCTAGAACGTAAAAAGTTATATATAAGTAAAAAATCACATCAAGTTATTTAAAAGTAATAAAAAGAAACTTATAAGTGTAAAAACTACTTATAGATATATAAAAAATATTAGCTTCAACATTTTTAAGTAAATATTTAGATATATTTAATTTTTTTAATTAACAATTAATAAAAAATTACTATAAAAAAATAAAAACAAACAAAAAAGAAAAAGAAAACTTGCATGGAGTGATATCACTCCATGATCGTGGGAGTGCACGGGGTCACCTTCTTTTTTATTTATTTATTAATAGTTAATTTAAAAAAATTAAATATATCTAAATATTTACTTAAAAATGTAGAATCTAATATTTTTTTACCTGTAAGTAGCTTTTATAATTATAAATTTTTTATTTTATTTTTAAATATCTTTATGTGATTTTTTACTTATAAGTAACTTTTTAAGTTACAGATAGTGTAACTTTTTCTTAATATTTAATTTAAAAAACTAAATATATCTAAATATTTATATTTAAAAAATTTGAAGTTAATATTTTTTTACTCATAAGTAACTTTTACAATTATAAGTTCGTTTTACTTTTAAATAACTTGAAATGATCTTTTTAGTTATAAACAACTTTTTACATTTTAGAAATAAAGAATCACTCTGTGTACAGAGTGGTTTCATTCCATAAAACGAGAGTTCTCTCTTCTGATGAAAAGTCAACTGCTTTTACTCTCCTTTTCAAAGGAGAGATTCTCTCCGTCCACGGAGAGTTTTTCTTTTTCTTTTTCTTTTTAATTTTATTTTTTATGGAGGGATAATTTTGTTGGTATAAAAAAATTATTTTTTTCAATTTTAATTAATAAAAATATTATATTTAACTTTTGTAACTTTTCTTATTTTATTTGTTTATAAAATATTTATATATTATTTATTTAATTTTTGTAACTTTCCTTTATTTTATTTGTTTCATTTAATTTAATAAAATAATCTTTATACATTCTTCATGATAGAACGACAATCGTTAAATTTAAATTAAATATTTGTTTAAATCATTTTCATTTATTATAATTTAATAGCTTCATAATAAATTATTTCTATTTTTCTCTCCAATTTCTTTTATTATACAATATAATAGTATTGCCTGTAATCAATTGAAAACGAAGTAGTGTATGAAAATGGATAAATCATTAAAATGGCGTGTCAAAATCTTGAGATGGCGTGTCAAAATAAAACTGCAGCGTCATTGAATAGAATTATTTACTATTGCCCCCCAAACCTTGCATTTCTTTGCATTTTCATTCCTATTTACACATTTTATTGTGAAAATCATCATTTTGATTTTTAATTATGTATTTGAGACTCATTTGTAATTTATTTTTTTAAGACTATGATTGGAATTAGTTATTTATTTATTTTTTCTTTTATTTTTATTTTAAAAAAGATGATATATTCGTCATTTCAAAACTTTTAATTGAGCAATTTGTTGAAAATAGATAAAAATGATGATTTCCGTAATGAAAGATGTAAATAGAAGTGAAAATGAAAATTGGGAACGTTTTGTACAATAAACTTCAAACATTGGGATGTTTTGTGCTAATAACCTAGCTTACTATATTTTGTACTATTGTAAAATACATTTTCTTTATCAAACTAATGGAATCGACCTTGGACTGGAGAAAACTTCTAGTGTCTTGGAATATGAAACTAAACACTTCCTGTTAATATTTAATTGATATGTGTACGTATGGCTCCTTAATGCAAAGACGACTCCAAATTTTGAAAAACGTGATTTTAAGGATGTTATGGGTATGTTGGGGCTTGAGTTGTTTGATTTTGAGTTAATCTATAAATACAATAAGCCTAGGAGATCAAAAAGGTGGAACCAGAGATTTTTCGGAAAAAACGTAGAATTCTCTCTTGAGTTTGGCATTAACCCGGATTTCTTGATCGTATAGGAAGAAAAAGCTAGAGATCAGTCGAGCAATAAGATGAATTCAAGAGTTGAAGAATTCTTCTTGTTAAATTGATTCCAGATGCTGTATTATTAATCCATTAATCAAGGCCCATAAACATGTTATAGCCTCCAATTTCTTATATCTTAAGTTATCATTTTCTTGTTGATTTTTGGATGATCTATATTTAACTGGAATTAAGATTTGGTTGCAGGACCATGGCCAATGATTGAGCAACCAACATTTCTGGTCTCTCCTGCCTCCCTTTGCCCATCTTCAACTTTAATCAAGGATGATTAAATTTGGTCCCTTAGCTAATGTTTTTTTTATTAATTTCCTCTCATCCCATTAATTGAGTAGATTGTAATCCAATTATGTAAAATGAACTCTGTTTCCAACCAATTATCCTTAGTTTAGTTTACCTCTTATAGAAACTTAATCTTTCAATTTATTCAGAAATAATGCTTAGTTTAATTTGTTTCTAACACTTATTTATTCCCCGTTATGGTCTACTTGCAGATTTGTAGCAAAATTGAATGACAGTCTTTGTATGTTTAGATAGAGTTTTACCGAATTTGATTCGCAATCATAAACATCACTCCTCTCATGTTAACTCTCAATCTAATACTAAAAATCCTTATTCTATTCAGCTTCATTCATGTATGTGTTGAAACAAGTACATGAATGTTTTGTAATTAATAAGTCGAGTTATATTTATGAAAGAATTGAGAAAATTTTATATTTTTCTCTTTACTATCTTCCCTGTGTGATTTTTGTATATAATTCTTAATTTTTCAATTACTCACTAATGTGTACAGAGCCATGGACTCGCCCAACCAACAATCATTAAGGGGCTGTTCTCTTTGTATTTTAGATTTTAGTTTCGAGTTTTGAATTTATTTTGAATTTTGTGTTTTGAG